CATAGCGGCCAAACCGCTTGCTAAGATCTGACAATCTGCATTGTAGCGGAATTAACGCATACGTTATCTTAATTAGTAACACAGATGATTCTAGACAAAACAGAGGTTATTCACGTTCCTAAAATTTGCTTAAAGTTTCCCATTGCCATATGAATTATTTCGCTTTGTATATCAATTTAAGCTAGGCAAACTGAATTACACTACTCTATCTTTTTGTAAAAATTTTCATTTGAAAAAGTATATTCAACGAACCTGTATGGATACGCCAATCTTCTCAGCAAGAAAAACAGGAAATTTTGGCGAGACACCGTTGGACTTATTGTAACACGTGGTTTCAGGAGGAATTCCCAGTCGAGTAGCAACCTGTTTAACTTGGTCATAACACAGAGGAAGGACACAGGAGTTTGAACTGCCCGGACTGCAGCATCTGGCCAACTACCGCTTTCTGACATGCCTGGTGTGTCCATAGCCAGAGCGCAGCGAACTCTTCCTACGTACCATCTGTTTCACAACGAAACCCCTTTGTACGCTTTGATCGCCGACGCAATTTGTCGTGGTAACCTGCATCCTTAAAACTTGAGGTATGGGAAACTGAATATTCATGCCTTTGTTGGTGCTTAGTATAATCTTACGACAACATCAAATTTAATGATTGCGCAGTTGCTTGCATTACGCTGTGTGCCCTGAAACTGTATGTGCAGTCATTGCCCTTCACTGCATGAATTCTTTCCTCTGGAGTTATTTTGGGAATAAATAGCCCGGTTATTTACAAGATTTAGTGTTTTGTTTGAATCATTTTTTATGGCATTTGTACAAAAGCGTATTTTATGAGATTTCACGATTTCTCCCTGTGCTGCAATAGTGCATTTTGTGCCTGAACATTTTGTTGGCCAGTCTTAGTCAAATTCGTACCAAGTCTTTGCACACTGATGTATTGGATGGAGGAGAATACAATTACAAACTTGGATAATGGAACAGTGTATCAAAATTTAAAAAGTTTATTTACGATGGCAAAAGTAGGCCAGTCTAATGTCAGGAGTTTTCTCTCTCTGTTTCCTGGTCACATCGATAATCTGTATTTAATTGCAAGCAAAAAAGTACAAGTATTTGCCAGGATATTACTGGCCCGGACCCGCTTGTCCGAATGAGAGCAGACAGTAATAGTCAATTTTAGGAATATTTTCTACTATTCGTCATACTCGGCGGCGGCCATCACTGAACACTTTGAAGTGCTTGAGTTGCAACTCCTTCTTCCTCTACGGTCATAGGTAAATCTGAATAGTCTTAGACATTCACTGTCTGTCAGGATGCTCATGTCAAGCCTTGTGCAAGAACTCTTGGCACTTTCACTTTCAGAACATGCTCCAACAAAATTAAGTCGCCATCATCAGCATTAGTATATTCTCTCATCAAATATGCAAGGGTAATCTCTTCACAATTTGCTGCCATAGTTGAACATGCATACCACGCAGAAGTACGAAAACTTTGTAACTTAAACTCTTGCGAGCACTTAACTTGAATGGTAACGCGTACTGAAAGAATCTTACGCGTTGTCGTACGCGTTCTGGGAAAACGCATTACTTGACCTGTCTAAAACTATTTATTAACGTCCTCTGTTTACCAGCGAATGTACGGAGCCCTGGAGCGGACACCTCATCTTATTCCGTCAACTTATTATCTCATTCTCACGACTTATTATCCCATCCCAACAATTTGTTTCCCCGGCCACAGTTAAATTAAATATTGTTCATTCGTATTTCAACGATTTCTTTCAGCCGGTTGCTCCCATGTTTCTTTTTTTATACGGCAGAGTCTTCAAATTTGTTTACAGGCATTAAATGGTGTATTAAACAAATTTGAGCTAATTTCATGCAATTGACCAGTGTACAACGGCCACTTTCGATTTCGCGCTGGGTGACTGGGACGAGCAATTCCTCCTGACTTTTACTTTCGTTTCGTCTGCGGGCAATCATGTTCGCATTTGAGCCTTCAAACCGAGAAACTCTGAGGTAAGAATCATCATCAAATTAAGATACGTATAGAAGTAGAACGGAAGGAGAGATTACAAACAGAAAACACGCCAGACGTGTGTCCCACGTCTTGACTTGAGTGTAGGTCTATAACTATATATCTCAAACAAATTACACATCAAGAATACAGTAAATTTTCTCCTTTACTGATTGCCCGTTTAATCAAAACGAAACTCTCCCTGCCAGCTGCGTTGCGGGCCGATTTCATGAAACATAAAGACGTCTTAAGAAGGGTAAGTTGTCTTACCTTACAACTCCTGTCGGGATCAATTTCACTCAGCTTTAGGACGCGTTCGGTAAGTCCCAACTATTTCAGGAACTCTTCCTAACTTACGTCTTTGTTCTGAGGTCGTCTTATCTCATTATTCCATGTCGAAGTGAAAGAGGAGTATTGTCCTAGACCTACAATTTGTAACAGTTTGGTGGGATGAAATTAGCTGCAGGAACAGACTTGAAAAGTGTTACCATTTACGAAAAGGTAGTTTTAAATAAAATGAAATGCTAAAAAATCTAATGGTAAGGGAAAACCTATTTGATATTTTAAAATGGAATTATCAAAATGATTGGAAGCATACATGTGAGTCAACTGCTTTGCCACACGTTCGTATTTTGGCTTTCCCTATAGTTTGAATGACTATTTTCGTCAAAGGATACAAAGAAACATGAAACAGACTCCAGATTTCTTGTTATAACCCATCTTTTCTAAAGACGGATTTGGTGAAATCGATACCCGACGGAACCGTTCTTTGCAAAGACCAATCTTGGACTTGTGACTCATCTCAGGCCGTAAGATAAGTTTCAAGATAAGATGAGTTTCTTGAAATCGGCCGCTGCCAGCTGAACCTTCATCACGGATGCTGCGCTGAAAGTAAATTCCTTTAGATGCAGTTTACTGATTTGTAATTTCTCTATTTTATACACAAAAAACGCACTCTCTCTAAATGCGTGTGCATGTATACTAAGATTTTTTTGGATTGTCTTAAACAATGGCTTATATTCTTCCATCTTTTCACACTTTAAAGCATTATTTTTGCTGTCATATTTCATATTTCATCCTATTTTCTCATCCTTTTTAGACATTGCCCCACTTTGTCCAATTGTGTAATGTAAATAATTTTACTTCGCTGTTGTTCATTCTTTCATAACAATTCAAACAGAAACAAAAAAGGAATTAGCAAATAAACATTGATAAATCGTTATATTATAAAGATGTCTATCCGTGAACCAAAAGTAACGTGTCCTTTCATAAAAGATTTTGCATAAACTAGTCACAAAGAATTTTTTTTAATTTCATGTTTAACGAAAAACATTGCACGAATCTCACAAAATGTTTGCCAATTCACGAATATGGGCGATTCACAACGGCGCCCCAAGAGTTTGCAACGCGTTGGCCAATCACAACTCTCGAAATTTGTCGACCCTTTTCAAACACGCATTGGGTCGACAAATTTCGTGCACTTTGATCGGCCAACGCGTTGCAAACTCTTAGAGGCGCACTATTGTGAAACACCCCTTTTGAAAGCCGTAACACATACCACGGGAGTGTCCGCGCGAATTTTGCCTGTTTTTCCAAACTGAATGGTGGCCCTTCACTTATTGAATAGCAAGACTGTGCCGTCGCATGCTCTTGGAATGAAGTTGAATGATTAGTTTTGCTTCTTGTATCGTGCTCTACATAGACTGTCAATCTAATTTCGTGCTAATTTGAATGAAACCGTCGCTAATTCGTGTGCGAAGATGATGAATTCGACCGGAAAATATTTTGTCCCCAATACTTGTTAACTCGTTTTCAACTCGTGTGTTGTTTACCTCCCACACCCAAAAATATGCCCAATTATTGTGAAGTTGTAATATATATGATAGACATTGAACCAAATCATTTTTCTTAAGTAACCATCTATACACTCGGTTGATTTGTCAAATCAATCGATGTGCTCGATGTACGCCTCACAAGACGTTCAGCTTTTCTCAACTCCACACCTGGATCAAGTTCTTTCGATATCAATCGAACATCTTTTCTCACACGAAGGCCACTTTGTTTGACGCTAGACATACATCATGCAGTGTAACCGTGCAACACGTACCCTGTATCTGATTTTAAATAAACTGCATAACGTCAGACAAATCAGAGAACCTCCTACAGGACAGATTTCAGGCAAACAAAATCTGTCGAGGGTGCCGTTTACTTATCACAATCTTGCGTCATTTGCCAACACAAACAGAATATTATGTCATTCCCTTAAAACAAAGTATGGAATTTAATGTCACGGCCTATGTCATTCTGTTACAAATGCTGTAGATATTCTGATCCTCACATTTGGTGAAATAGTAACTTGAAAGAGATATAAGTTGGTAGAGGGAACTAGATATCGAATCGTGT